AGAAAGGCGGGCGGGGGGCGAGCCGGCCGGCGGGGCTCGGAGCGCGGCCTGCCAGCTGACCGACGCGTTGTTTTGGTTTTTTTGTTTTTTTCCCCTCTCCTCCTTTCGTCGATTTCCTCCCTGGAGGCCTCCCGATGAGTTAAAATGGTGCTGAGGCTCGAGGGGAGCTGGTCGCTGCTCGTGGGCAAGAGGTTCCTCAGCCTGTCGGAGGAAGACGACAGGTCGTGGGACACCAGTCGCATCTCGGAATGGCCGTGGAAGTCAGGCAGGATCCGAGCAGTTTCACACACGGACATATCCAAACAAGACCTGAAGGTAACCGGGAACTTCCAAAGAGACCTTCTAAAACGAGAGTGCTTACCCTGTGACCTCGAAACTTCGTGAGCCTGCGTGTGTGTGGGTGTGTGTCTACACATACACATATATTCACGCTGTTGTTGGGGGAGAGAGGTCTTCTTGGTCAACTTGCCTGCTTAACGTGCTTGAAAACGTGCACCTCCGGCTAAAGCCCCCAATGTGCTTGTACTAATGCCGGAAATTACCTCAGACTAATTATAAATGTGCCTTCTTCACCAGCATTTTGAAAACTTCACGTTTTTATTGCACCCGCTGAGCCTAGGTTTTATTTCTGGATATTTCCTAGATGTAATTTAAGACCTTGTCAGTTGTAAACGAGTTTTTTTTTTCCCCAGAGATTGCAGTTACTTATGAAACCGAAACACTCCTGTGTTGATGGGATTGGTGACTTTCTTTCTTGCTCTTTGAAGTAGTTGGTAATGAACAAGTACTTCTACTGTCTTAAAAGATGTACCAAATTCGTGTATAGTGTTGGAGGTTTCTCAGGCTCTTCTTGCATGGTGGCCACTTATTAATAATGGTTACCAATGGGATTTTTAATCACGCAATCAATTACTGCAAGCTTAACTATGTATTTTGGGTGGGAGTTAAGCGACTCTCACAGTTTGACTGTGAAGCTCTTAAGGGGCTATTTGGCAACTGTAGTCAGTAAAACTATTCAACCGTGTCTGGGCAATTACTATAGCATACAAAGTATTCGCTAAGGACAAAACTCCATTATATTAATGTCATCCTGTTACATGGTTCTCTTAGTTTCTACAAGGGACTTCGGTGGCAGGCTGTTCTATGACAACAAGAACAGTACCATCTTTCAATTAAAACTGTTTCCTTGCCTTTTTTTTTTCTTAACGGGAAGAACTTTGTGACTTCTGATTAACTGAAGAAGCACCTGCTCCTTGTCAAATGAGAAGAAATCGTACGTGTTTCTCACACTTTCTTGAAAGTGTAACCTTTGTTATGAAGAGTCCCGAGTTGTTAGAGGCCGAGCTTCTTGTTGTGGATCTGCAGCAGGGGTGGAGCTTTCCCCATCTTTGGCCGATGGGGCTGTGCCCATGCCGTACTTCCAGTGAGGAGGAAGATGTTGCTGCTGCAGAAAGCTCTTCTTAAGGACCTTCTTTGGGACTTAAAAGGAGAAGGAGCAGGTGCTGTTGGGGACTTTACTGTAAGCCTTGAAACTGGTTACGGTTCTGCCAGAAGCGATTGACTTAATGCGTTCACCAGTGAAAGTGTTAAAAGGAGTTGCAAAGTAGACAATCCAGGCATAGAGAGCCAAAACACATGCCATCTTCTTTCCTCTCTTGCAGCTCTGTGGAAGAGTAATGTATAGTTAGACTCAAAATAGTTAATGGATTAGGGGGAAAAAGGAGTTTCTAAAGGAGTAGAAATATTTAATCTTTTTGTATAGCGTCAGGAGCAAGCTACAGAATAGAAGGACTGTCAACTACTTCTGAAAGTATTTTCTCAACTGTGTTTTCCTGTTTGTGCAGTGTTGATACTATAGACAAAACAAGCCATTCTGGTTCTGGTACTTGTGTTATTTGCTTATCTCTTTCATTGTTTCCATGAACTTCAAAATGACTAAATTCATTTCTGCACCCATTAGTTTTACAACTCCTGTCTGTGGTAATGTTGTTTTGTGTGCATGCTTTTACTTGCCTTTTCCCTTAGAGGGAAGCTAAACACAAGGGAATGTTTTGAAGATTCACTCAACTAATGTTTCTCTGCTGTTAGGGTAAATTAGTTAAATGTATTTAGACTGGATCGTTATATTTTATGGGAAGAGGGAGTAATTTTTCTGAGAGTAGTGTTCTCTACCAAGACATTCTGATCCATGTATTCAGGCAAAGTTGTCTTTGTGGTCTTTCCCAATCCTTTGTTGATCTCCCTGTGTTGCCTATGAAAGAAGGGTAATGCCATCCCAAAGAAATTGGTCAAGCCACCATGTTTTTGCCATGAAGTGACAACTGCTTTCCTCTTGAAAAGTTTGTACAGATGCTTCAGAGATTCGTAAAGATAAATATGAGTTAAAAGCAGGCAGCAAATGACCTTCACATTATATAAATTGATCACCTTTACTGGCGTACTGTCATTTGTGCTTTCAATAAATTAACTAAAATTATTCTTTGGGACTCTTATTCTTAAAATATTTCTGGAAAAGCAGCTTGTTTATTCAAGTACTCTAGTTTAGAGTTTGTGGAAAATGCTTGTGCCACTGCTGTATGCAGTCCTTTGAAGCTTTTGGGATTTTTTGCTGTGTTTTTCCCTGATTGTAAACACTAGTGGCAGAGTTAAAACATTTAACTGCCCTTGAGCAGCAGAGGACTTTTTGAGTTGTAGAGTTAAATAGCAGTATTAATGTTTTATGTGACAGTAATGATGACAAAACAGTTAATATTGCCTATCACTTATAAAATACTAGGTCAGCCTGGGATGCTTTAGTGATTGCTTGATTGTCTGACAGAAGGGCAATAAGCGTATTTGCATATAAGTACTTTTAATGATCTTTTTTTTTTTTTGAGGAAATTGGTGTTTGTTTATCCTTTTTTATGTTATATGTGTCTGAATTTTGTGGTTAGTCACTCCTTCACGTTGTTTCCTTTCTGTAGATTTGTGTAGAATTTGATGATGAGTCATGGGAAAAAAGAAGATGGATAGAAGTCTACAGCCATAAAATGAAAGCATTCCTGGTGGAGCAAAAGCTGGTACTGGCTGAAAGAAAATCTCAAGCCAATTCTATGTCTCCTGTCCAGTGGCCTGCAATGGCAAGTATACGCTTGGCCTAACTCACTTTGGTTCTGCAGTTCCATCTTCCAATGACCGTGTTGTTACAAGTGTGAATTTCTCAAGTACAGTTTCACTTGTGTACTCTTACATGTAATCTGGAGGGAGACTAAATCTCTTTGTACAGCTAGAGCTAGGCAGAGCTTGTAAGCATTTGAAGTTGGTATGTTGTGCCTGGAGACACAGGAATGTATTTTTATGACTTTGCTTCCCTCCCAGACCACTATTCTGTACAATGTTAGTTTCTTCTCCCTCTAGTCTCTTGTTTCTTCCTTCTTTCATGAAATTGCAGTTAAGAATAGAGAGAAAAAGGGTAAATAATAGGTTTCTAAGGAAAGCCTGTATTTTTATCTTAAATTCTTGTTTTACTCTGCCTCAACTACTGTTAATTCTTCAGTGATTCTTCTTCTGAGACAAAAATAATTTGGATGACTCTCAGTGAAGGCTGCCTGGCACAGATGATTTGTGAGATTTGGGTTTTGTGCATATAAAAACCTGAGCTACACTGTACAAGCCAGAGAACTGAGCTTTCTGTAACTGCCATGCATGGCTGGCTAGGCAAATTAGCCAGTAGAAGTGAACAGGGAACATTTCTTAACATATTCAGTCAGTATAGTTTTACTTGACTGCTTTGGATATTGCTACTCATAAAAGTAGTTGTGAAATAAATGAAGATGTAAACTTGCTGTATGTTAATTATGCTGAAGTTGTAGTCCATGTTTTAATACTCTTTAATTTTGCTAGATGTAAAGTATGCAGTGTAATTCATATTGCTGCATTTTAGATGAGCTTTTTTCTTAAGCAAAGCTAATCTAAGCAGATATTTATTGGAAGCAGGGCCAGATAAGATGGAGAGGAAGTGAAAAGATGAATCCTTAATTTTATTTCCTGACCTGTGTGTTAATATCAGCAGTTCTACTAGTAGATTTTGCTGATGCAATGTTCTGAAAACCTGCTTTAAACTTAGCTGTTACCCCTTTCCAAGTATCAGAACAGTTCTTACTGGATGCTTGTCTTCAATTTATGCATAAAGTTTTCCTCATGATGTGTTTGACGTGTCAGTTCATGCAGTGTACATGTTCCAAAGCTCATTTAGCAGAGGAATGACGTAGGATAAAGTAAAGCACAATACTGGAGCTTGCCTTGGCAAAAAAGACTTTCTCCCTTTCCCACCACACAAGGCAGGAAAGAAGGGGTCACAAAAGAGGAGTGTGGATTAACTTACTTAAGTCTTGATCACAACTTACTGATTCAAGTATATGGGAGAGTGTGTTTCTGACAAATGGAATAGCTTTGCAGAACTCCTGTAATGCCTGGTCACTCTTGGAGAGGCTCTTGTTCCTCTTATGGTGATACTGCCCCTTTGCCAATGCTGCCCTAACGGAAGTGAAAACAACAAAGGGGAAGAAAGTCTTTGTTTGCTTTATCAGTCCTTTGGAAACCCAAACACATACTCCATCAGAATGATTTTCTTTTTTTCTTTTAAACGAGGCACAAATGTACCTTTCACGTGGGGAGGAGTTATTCTTGCCACTTCTGATGCTCCAGGCTCCTGATGCCTACCCACTCAGAGCTGGTACTGCAGGACTAGGCAAAATTTAACCTTGAGCATGTTAGGAAGAGTTCAGAAGCTTTTAAAGGAAATTGATTCTTGTCTGTTCTTAAAGCCTTTGGTATACCTGAACACAATTTCATTACTGTACTGCAGCGGTATAACAACTATGAGGCTATACAAGTCATCAAACATGTCTAAACTAAGGCTTCAGTCTATTATCAATGTTGCATGAGCTCTGAGAACTTTAATGTAAGCCATGTAGCAGGCCTTCATTGATTTGCTAGTTATTCCCCCAATCTACCATAAGGAGGATTTTTCATTAGCATATCCACAATTAGAACTCTTAGTATTAGTAAGTTCTTCATGTTGAGATGAATGATCAATGATTGTTAATGACAGCTGCTTGAACTGAATTCCTAACTCATTCTAATAAATTAATTTCAGGTGTAGTCCAGTAACTCCTTTATTAGGCATGTATTAGAAGTTTTATTAGAAACTTGCTTTGTTTCAAGAGTTGCATGTAGATGTGGTATCTTAACAGCGAAGTAGATGCAAAACTAAAATAACTTTTTAAATGCAAATGAGGAATGATGAGATCGTCTTACTCTGTTTCTAAGAAAATGTTTATCACTCTTCTAGACTTACAAATCCTTAGTGGACAAAGCTGGTTTGGGATCAATGGTTTCAGTACGCTATCTTGGTGAAGAGAGATGTGTTTTTCTTTCTAAAGACCTTTTGACACCTATTCAGGTAATCTTGTATGGCATTATAAAGATGGAGGATGAATCTTTTATCTTGGTATTTAAGATATGTCAAGTTAATATCTTCTAAATGCAAACTTTAGATGGGTAAAAACTTGGAGTAGGTGTTTATTGCCGTAACTCATAAATACCTGTTCTGAATGTAATGTGTCTGATTAAAAACCTCTGAGGCTGATCCAGGACACGGTCACTTAAAAGTGCTGGATGAGGGAGTGTGCTAGGACAGTTAGTCACCTCAGGTGACAGCAATTGCATCATGTTGATGTTGGGGATAATCTGGAATAGTTTCCTTTTGTTCTTGTGAACATGGCTGTTATTACTATGAAAGGAGTTGCAGGGATGTCTGGAATAAATCTTGCTATTTAATAGAAACACATCACTTCTAACCCTACACAAATGAGGAAGTGGGCAGGATGTAAATGAGATGGTTAAATTATAGTCCCTTTATTGAGCACCAGGAGGCAAGTTTGTTAGTGAAAATTACGTAGAGATGGGTTGAAACAATTGCCCTGTGTGTCTGACTGGTCAGGCATTTTGAAGAATAGTATCTGTTAATGATAAAACCTTTTCAGGAAGCTACTCTCAAGACCTATAAAAAGTCTGAATAAAACTTGTAATAGATGTCCCATGTTGAGACTGCTGGTAGTGTCATCATTAGTGTTCTACTTTGACTTGTTAGCAGTCAGACAACTCCTCTTAAGAAACTAACAAAAGAATCAAAGCTAAATTTGAGTTGTAGATTGTTGTCTTGCCTGTGTTGGCTCAACACAGAGTAGAGATTTCTTTATGTAGAAGCCTTATCTCAATACTGCAATGGGAAGACTGCTCTGCTTTTCTGGCATCTTGAATAGCAGTTTCTTGACTACTAGCTCTTCAGCCTTCTGCTTTTTACAAATACCAGAGCAGTGCTTGGTACAAAAAGAAACAAACCAACCAACCAAACCCCCTTTTTTTTTTATTACCACTCTGAGCCATTGGTAAAAACTTGCTCTAAACTTTCCATTTCAGAATCAATTCTAAATATTGTCAAGCAGCTTGTTTTAGATAACAATAGAGGGAAAAAACCTCACCTAAAATATAAATAAATGATGCCGAATAATGTTGAATGATTTAGATGTGACTGACTCTGTTTTCACTCATATAAACATTTTATAATGGTATCTTGAGATGGACTGGATCCTGGCATTATTATCGTAAATAGAAACATAAAACTTAAAATATTTGCATTTGCATCTGCTCAGGACTACTTATAAGTTGCTACTTCTGAGAACTTAAAATCCTAAATTAAAAAATGGATGGTTCAATTAAACTTAGTGCTCATTAGCAGTGTAGTAAAACAAAGCCAGATTGTTTTCAGAACAATATTAAAGTGGACCTGGAGAGCTCACTTCAGTCTGGCTTGCAGATGGTCGATCCAGATTAGTGGTAAGGGAATGATGTCTGCCTCAATAAATGCAATATCCTAGGAGCTGAAGGAACAGAGAGTAATGAGAAACTTGTTGGACTTGTATGAATTGCTGCTATCTTGTTTCTAAATGTTATGGGGTTTTGTTAATCAAAAGCATTATCCTTAATACCGGCTTCTATATTTTTTTTTCCTAAATAGGATGTGGACAGTTCCAGGCTTCCTCTTAAGGATGATCAAAGTGTTAGTGAAGAAATTCAGGCTTTGGTTAAGAAACACCTAGATGAAACACGCTTGGTGCAAGGTACAAGCATACTCTGTAGCGGAAAAGTCTGGCAATAAATACTCAGGTCAAAAGGGAAATCTTTGCAGTGATGGTGTAAATTACTGTAATCTCTTTTAGGGATAAAAGCTTTTTTAAAATACTGTTCCACTTTCTTTCACAGCAGTGAATACAAAATGTGAAGGATTATAGAGATTTAAGTTTCAAGTATCTCCTTTGTAAGAGTGAGTACGTCATTTAGGCACATATAGATGGCCTGGCACTTGTGAGAGAGGTATCATATTTGTAGCAATTCTCATTGAAATTATTTGGAGTTGTTTATTGTTTCAAGTGGCTTGATTTTTTTTTTTCAGTCTGCTGCTTATTTATAAAAACTTCCAAAGTTTTATATAAAGACTACTGTTTTAGTCAAGTTAAAATTGTTATTTTTTAGATTTGCCAGCTTCACATTCTTAATTACTGGGTTCATACAAGCATGTTTGTAGTCATATGCTTGCATATGCAAGAAATGTCTTACTTTTATGGAAAGGTAAATACTGCAACTTAGCGTTGTCATTTCCAATACTGTAAAGAGAGGAAAAATTCACATCTAATCATTGAATCTTCATTTCCATGTCCACTGATCTGCCTCACGGTCTGAAATCTGGAGGTCAGTCTGGCCTCTGCTGCATGTCTTAACCTCCAGAAAACTTCATTAAACTATTCCAGGAAGGAGGTAGCTGGAACATAGTTTTATCATGCTTTTCCCCCCTCCCCTCCTAGCTATGTGGAAGTTGTCTCAAGGTTCTCGGCTTGTTTTTTTTACTTGCATCTTGCGTGCAGTACTGTTGGCAGATTCACGCTGGTAACTGTGATGATCTTCACGCTCCCTTTTTCTTAAGCTCCCTTTTCTTGTTTTTTTTTTTTTTCCAATTTTTAAGGTGGAAAAAATATAATTGGTTCAAAAATTAGAATTTATAGCCTGGATCCATCTACTCAGTGGTTCACAGCAGTTGTTGTCAATGGTAATCCAGCTACGAGAACTCTAGAAGTCAACTGTCAGGAGGTAAGAACCAGTTGCTGTGGGTTTACAAACAGAGATGGGGAATGGGTGAGAACTTGTATTTATATCCCCACCAACACCATTTTTAATTCTGTCCTTACTGTAATAAGCTTAAAAAAAATGGGGATCAGTGTAGTGCAGAATAATCTATTACCCCAAAGTGTTTCTCTATGCTGCTGATAGAATTATCAAATAACAAATGGCCTTCTACTCAAAATGAGGGAGACCTGGAATTTTTATTTGAAGAGTGAGGTATATGTACGATCCTGGTTTCTTTGCTTTCTATGCTGTGTAGACAGTGCTCTGAAGCACCAGTTTATATGTGTGTTTTCATGCAGAGACACGTCACAACAATATATTGTTAAATTCAGCTTGGTATTCAAAGAACCTAGGAGTTAAGTGTCTAAACTTAGTCTATACCACAACATCTAAGATAAATACATTCAAACAGTAACTTTCACCTCTCTAAATGGCTGCTTCTGTGTTTTTGTTCCTTTTCAAGATTCCAGCTTTAAAAACTCTTGATCCAGAGTTAATTCATGTTGAAATCATATATGACAACAATGGAAAATGTGGTAAGACCTAGTATTGTTTTTCCTTCAAACACTAAGTAGCATATTTGTGATAAATAGACTGATCTTGATCACCTTCTCTTCCAGATAAATCTAAAAGAATTGGGGGCATGAAAAGGAAGTCATCTGAGAATAGTGGAAGTGTTGATGCTAAACACACAAAATCTTCTCCTGAGGTAGTATCTTGCTGTGTTATATATGACTGTTATATAATGGTTATGTCATTTCTCAGAACAGTCTTAAATAAGGATTAGATAGGAAAGTGGAATAATAAATATAATCCCTGGGAGGGCGTGCTGAGTTCTTTGAAACTTGTCTAGGCATGGGTAAAACATCTTGCCTCGTGATAATCGGAGAAAAAGTTACTGAGCCTTGAAGGTTGGTTTTTTTTAAACTGTGCTTTTTGCTGCCTCCTTCTGCTTAAGAGTTAGCCTGCCTGGTCATGTATTCTGTAGTGGGAGAAAACGCAAAACAGTTCTCAAGTTTATAACCGTTGCTTTTCATGTTCTTTCTTCCTTTAACTATTTTGTACTTAAACCCAAAACTTTCAGCTAGACTTGCATGCTTTGAGGATTCAAGCTACACAAGCAGCAGTCTGGAAGAATGTTGTTTCAGTACAAAAAGGGAATAAGACTACTTTTCTAGTACTTCCATGTCTACATTTTATTTTTGTGAGTGACCTGCCAAGTATCACTGAGATCTAAGAAAACTGTCTCAAAGGTCAAAAGATGATCTGGGTAACTTAAGTATAGAAACGCAAATGAAAAATAATGGCTTGGCTAAAGAACGGTACTTCAAACTTGCCCTATAATTTTGTCCCAGTGTTTCAGACCAAAAATTGCATTTTAGGCAGGAGTAGCCTTCTGGGAGCTCTGGAGTGGTGGTGGGGTGGGAGGGTTGGGTTTGTTTCTTTTTTTTTGGCTTTGTGTTCTTGGCTTTTATGCAGTCAGTCCTGTGCCGAGTCAACTGTGTAGATCTGGCTAATGACTGGATATCATTACTAGAAATCTTTAACAGCTTCACAAAGATACGGCATGAGGTAGCAAGTACAGGGTAAGATTCCTCAATGAAAAGAGTGATCTATCTTGTATTTACCATTGACAAAGAGCATGCAGCAAATCAGCATGAAGTACCTAGTGCACTGCAGTCCTACTCTGCATATGTTGTTTCTATAGCTTGTGCTTGAGTACCTTTAGCATTTTTCGGGTGTTCAGTTTGCCAGTCTTTGGCTTTCTGCGTATTCAGCCATTGAGCAGCCTGCTTGATACACGCAAAGCTGGTCTTTATTTCATATTCCAAAAGTCCTGCAGAAGAGTTATGATCTGAATTCATAGCTTGTTTCACCATAGTTTTTCTTTAACGTAGTGAAGTTACTTACTTCTAATTTTCTAGCCTGCCTTCCTTTGAAGGACTGGATCCTTTATCACTTTGGTACTCCTTGGGAAATGTCTTGCAACTATTTTCTCAAAATGGTACACTCAAAGCGAGTGTACTTTCTAATAGGGAAAGCAGAAGCTCTGTTTGTTTCTCTGATTTTGGTGGATGTTAATATATGGGAGGGATAAGCTGAAGCCATATTTTTTGTTTTACTTAAAATGTGATAGTACTCTGATTTCTAATATGGAGTTAATTAATTCCAGTGGTTTTTTTTGAGAGCTTGTCTTGATGTCTGACAGCTGTGTTATACCAAAGCAGAAAGGAAATATTTTGGAGTTGATGGTAACGAGCTGTAGTGTAACTTCCAGCAGTAAGCTGAGCATGTGGGAGTGGAATATGGATGTTAGACCTGAGGAAGGAGTCCCACAAAAACCTACTGTTTTCACAGACATTTGCTAATTTGGTAGGCCTGTTGTATTACTAAAAGAATTGTAGATTTGTAAGGCTGGTGATTCAGTCAGCACAGGATTTCTTTACTTAACACTTTCTAGAATCCTAGTACAAAGATTTTCTCACTACAGGGAAGTTTACATCTAGACTTTTGGCAATGTCAGACTAACTTCACAGTTTTAATTTTCTCTCTGAAAGCTATTTCTGAATTCTGATTGCTGCAATTATTTTAGAAAGAACATTGCAGTGGCAATTATGAAGAGCAGAGCTTTCTATCTTCCTTTCCACGTTCTTAATACACCTTCCTTCCCCCAAAAAAGTTTGTTGTTAATTGGGGGAAAATGAATTAATGTGAACAGTGTTTCATGGAACCTGTAAGGTTTAAAAAGACACTCTAAGATCTTTCCATCTTATGGGTTGAGTGAGGAATGGTCTTCAATGAGCTTTACTAAACATGGTGGGAAGGGCATTAATGTATTTTTCTTTTTAAGCTGAACCCTGCAAAGCAGTATTTCTGTTATCCTGAATTTTCCTAACTGTTAAAATCTTCCTTATAGGTTTCTCCCAGTCAGGGACATGTGCAGTCAGTACCAACAGTGTTGGGTGAAGCATTGCTAGGATGTACTCCTGCTAATAAAGACCAAAGGCATCAAGGCCTGCCCCTGCCAGCTAACTCACCACCCAATCTTGGTGCAGAAACTCCTCAGGGGTAAGGAATCAGCAGTTTATGCTTATGCAGACTTTTCCTCCAAAAATAATTTCAGTTCTTAGCAAAACAAACTCAGAGGTCATTTTAAAGAACTGTAGTAACTAGTCTTCTATAATATTGGCATAGAAAAGTGTTAGACTTAATTGTTCTGGATACATAATGTGCTTGCTTATGCCATATTTTTCTTTTTTATAGAATCAGAATGGTTTGGGTTGGAAGGGACCTTTAAAGGTCATCTAGTCCAACCCCCCTGCAATGAGCAGGGACGTCTTCAACTAGATCAGGTTGCTCAGAGCCCCGTCCAACCTGACCTTGAATGTTTCCAGGGATGGGGCATCTACCACCTCTCTGGGCAACCTGTGCCAGTGTTTCACCACCCTCATTGTAAACCATTTTTTCCTTCTATCTAGTCTGAATCTACCCTCTTTTAGTTTAGAACCATTACCCCTTGTCCTATCACAACAGGCTCTGCTAAAAAGTCTGTCCCCATCTTTCTTATAAGCCCCCTTTAAGTACTGAAAGGCCGCAATAAGGTCTCCCCGAAGCCTTCTCTTCTCCAGGCTGAACAACCGCAACTCTCTCAGCCTTTCCTCATAGGAGAGGTGTTCCATCCCCCTGATCATTTTTGTGGCCCTCCTCTGGACTCACTCCAACAGGTCCATGTCTGTCTTGTGCTGAGGGCTCCCAAGCTGGACGCAGGACTGCAGGGGGGGTCTCACCAGAGCAGAGCAGAGGGGCAGAATCACCTCCCTTGACCTGCTGGCCGTGCTTCTTTTGATGCAGCCCAGGATACGGTTGGCTTTCTGGGCTGTGAGCGCACATTGCCAACGTTATCTTTGAAGTAGTTGCCTTTCAATGTCACAAGCCAATGTTACTGCTTCATAGACCCATCTGTAAACTGATCCATTACACATAGCTGTGGCGCCTACTTCTTGTCAAATGCATTCCTCCCTGCCCCCAAGAAAAATAGAACACATTCAGGCAGATGTGCTGTACACTAGCTTCTTGCAGACCAAGTACAGGTCCTCATATTTCTGTTGAACACCAGTGGCTTTAAACTTCTTTGTTACCTGTAGGAGGCTAGAAAATGTCCAACTGGGTGTAAAACCTTCCAGTACAGTGTTTCCCACTCCAAACTTTCCTTAAACAAATTTGATCGGATACTGCATTTCCATTATAAATATCACTCTAGAAGTCATGGTGTCAGCGTATTTTTCAATCAGATAAATGTCTCCAAAATACAAACTTCTGCATCAGCTGTGACAGGAGGAAAGGCAGTCAGGGGCCCGAGATGAAGGGTGTGTTTTACTCAGTTGTCTGACCATAGCAAGTATGGGAACTGTATTGTACCATGTAACTTTACTGAGTGTAATCACAGCTCCTTTGTAACTTGTATAATTTGAAGGCTAGCGTATTGTGCTTGTGCCCCCAATTCTGTCACAAAAGTGAACATATGTGGTAGAATTAGTGTGACAGGAAAACTCAAATTTTGTGTTCTATTTTTAAAAGAAGTGGTATAGGTTTTTTTCCACTTAGCTTTGTATCTCACAAGATAAATGCAGAAAAGATTTTTTTTTTTTTTTTTTTTTTTTTATTTGAACTTTTTGTGTGGGAGCGGTTTTACTGCCTCTGATATAGACTTGTAGTGCCAGCCGGAAGTTCCTTGAGTATTAGAATCTTCTCACACAGACATGCAAGTGAAATGCATTTGGTTATACAGCTGTTGCATGGAGAAAATGAGAAAGTAACTGTTTAATTGTGAGAGAAGGTAGTGGAGTAGCTGCAGTACCTAAATTTGTATGTGCCTGCATGTGCATACAGCTTTATCATTCTGTCCAACTCTTTAAAAAAACAAACAAACAAAACAAAAACACCAAAACCAAAAAAAACCCAAAACCCCTCAAAAAATCCCCACAAAAAACAACAACAACAAAAAACCCAAAACAAAACAAAAAACCCAAAACAAAACAAAAACTCCCAAAAAAACCCTCAAAAGCACAAACCTGTTTAACCTCACAAAATTTAAAATCTTGGAACATCAGAATTCAAAGTACATGATTAATTTTCTTCTTTCAAGCTTTAAATGTGACTAGATTGGGCAGCTGATGCCCTGATTCATTTGACACCTTCTTTGTCTAATTATTGCATGTTATGTGTTTCAGCACGTGTAGACGAAGCTTACCGGAAACTCATCCTTCTTGTCTTAATACTGGAATTAAACCACTGAAGGAAGATCTGACGGCCTTTCCTAAAGTGGGATTTATATCTAAAGAGCAAACGCAAAATCTTAAGGATCAAAATGGTAAATATACCTCTCTGACAACCTCAAGATCTTCATCTTTGACCAATTCAGCTAATGAAAAAGGAACCAACCTGAAAAATACAAATGAACCTCTTATGAAGCCCACAACAAACTTTCCAAAAGAGTGCATTTCTGTGAAACAGTTGCAACATCTTAACTCTTCCATAGCAATACCCAGAGTCAGTAGCACTGTTGAACTGCAGCGGACTTTAGATTGTAGACCCTCAACCTCAGATGCTCATCTTCTCTCTTTCACTGAGTCTGGAGTTAAATCACAAAGCAATTGCAATAGCCAGAACAGCCACAAAGGAAACAAGATTGATGAACTTATAGACATGGAATTTTTTGCTAGAAGAAATTCAAATGAGATTCTTTATGACAGAAATGAAAATGAAAGCTTTTGGACTGGAAGTGCCAAGGTCCAGGATAATAGTAAGTATTTTTAAAACTTCCTGTCATTTGAAAGTCCTTGTAGTTTCTGTGTAACTACATAAAAGTGGGTCCTCTGTAACGTACACAAAATTAGTAATTTAAATTGTGTGAGTGAATCTGGAATTTGAGTCATTCATGGGTTCTTTTACAAGGGGAATGTAATAAACTTGAGAAAAATGTCCTTTCCTGATAAAGGAAAAGGACTAATCATTAATTTCTAGAAATAAGTTGTTACAAAATGTATGCAAGAACAGAATGGCAAAACGGGTTACAAAAACAAGGTTCTGTTTGGAATGCAAATGCTGATGGCATAATGAGGCTGCTTTTTTTTATTTTTAGCAATGGTGCTAAATTTTGCAAGTATGGTGAGAGATGGAAGTTGTTCTCAACAAAGCTTTTTTCAAGAGGGGCTTTTACTTAATAACTGTTCTGAAAACAAAACAAACAAACAAAAAACCTCAACCAACCAAAAAAAAAAAGAAAACCCACCCAGCCTCAAAACAACCCACCTTGTTTCTATGTTTTCTGTGGCCCAGTTCCACTTAGTGAACTCTTCAAGTTTTCCACATGGGACAGAATGGGAAAGGCTGAAGTTGTTTGAGGAGCTGGACTCCGATGTTACATATTGTGCTGTGCATCAGGCGGTATAGCCGATCATTCAGGGTTCTGGGAATCTCCCTACGCATCCACCTCTTTTTTTCTTTCCAATCTCATGTTGCTTGGTCTTGGATTAGCATGTGCTATTCCATAATTAACACGGGTACACAGCCAGCCAAGTAGTCACTGTTGTGCCCTGCTTAGCCTCAGCCGCAACGTGGGAGGAAGAGAGATGTTTGGCATCTGTTACAGTAAGATGCTGAAAGCTGTTGCATCATGAAGGGTGAAAACAGGACTGAGAAATGGCCTGGTTGTGCTTTTGGTGTCATTATTTGTGAAATGTGGTCGCTTCATGCCCTGGTCTACTCAGGTAGTCCAGCCCTGATGGCTGAAGAACTTTCATTAAACGCAGATGCTCTTTCAAAATATTCCTCTGAGGAGGAGCGAAAGGAGCTGTTAAACTTGGGTCTACAGACTATGACTCCAGTGGAACTATAGGTTGAGAAGGTTTCTACTGACCTGAAAAGAGGTTTCTGCCAACTGCAAATATTTTAGTATAACTTTGTTTCAATGTAGTGTGAAACTTACAGGAAAAGTTGACATGGATCTTTCACTAAAATACATTCCCTTGCACCTTTATATGAGAAACTGAAGCTTGTCTAATCTACGCTACTCTTCCCTGCAGTAATTGTTCGCAAGTCAATTTTAGCAGATGCTTCTAAAGTGAAGAAGCTGCAGCAAAGTGGAGAAGCATTTGTACAGGATGGTTCCTGCAATAATATCGCACCTCACTTGCATAAATGCAGGGAATGCCGTTTGGATAGTTATCGGAAGAACAAAGAGCAAAGAGACTCCACTGTCTTTTGTCGATTCTTTCACTTTAGAAGGTAAGAACAATTTTGACTCTGTTTAGACCTTGATATTCTTTAATGTGAATAACATACCCCACGTCTGAGTTGGACATACAACCTTTTTTCCTTTTCTGATCAGGGGGCCGTTGAGTGCTCACTGTTAGCTATAACAAGGATCTTCATCTTCCAGGACAGATGAAAAAACAGTTATTTGGTCAAAGTGGTCTCATTTAGGTCTCTGGTTCAAAACTGCTAGATGTCAGTGTGTAGTTGTTAAGCTATAAGGCTAATATGCCTAACTAATGAGCGGTTGCCTGTGTTTTTTTAGTCCTCAGAAATTTTTTAACTGCTTCATTTGAGTAGAAAATATTTTGGCAGGACTTTGAGCTCTTTATTTTGCTATTCTGGGCTGAGTGCCAATGGGATAACATGAGTTTAGTTTGAGTGCTACAGCTCAGTAGTATTGGAGATAATAGTGAGAGGGTAGATTCCGTGCATGTCTCCTAAAGTTTAGTGGTTGGAAATGTGAAATGTTAGATATACATCCACAGCTGTGGAAGAGTTGCAGTAAGTGGCCAGGGGCTTTCAGCTGGAGTCATGGAATAGTGATGGACAAAATAGTAATTTACATTGTGTGTTGCTCCGTTCTTTGTTCCACTTTACACTTGAGAGTTTGTGCCACTTCTTTAAGCTTGCTATAGAAACATTTAATCAGTACACTCTCTGGGTTTCAGGAGGGCAGATGGGGCCAGCAAGGCAACTTTAAGGAAAACCTGCTGACTGTGGAGTGGTGGTTGCTTTTCCAAATCTGATCTGCCGCTTCAGATCCATTACACCCCACCCACAGCCCCCAGAGCCTGATTCTTGAGTTGAACAGTCAAGGTCTTTTGATGTTTTATCTCTTTAGCTCTTAAGACACCATGAGGGACCCTTTCAAAAAGAGTGTTAAACTGTTACTTAAAGCCTGTCTATAAGCCCAGGGTGGATGTTCTCAAACTGCAGTGTCTGGCTGTTTTTTAACATGTCCTTTACTTTGTTTTCAAGTTGTGTAAATTTTTTCCATGACCTGTTTTGATCTCATGTCCAGATGTTGTTGCATGCTTCTTTTTATTTCCCCCCACACCCATTTAAGCTTTGAGGCATGGACTGTGTTTTATGGGAAGAAGGTAACGCTTGTGATATTAGAGAGGAAAAGCAAACATACTAGTTATCACAAGGGAGATGGGAAGCTTACTTATTCTCAGTTTTCCTTTTTATTTTCAGAGGAATGACTTTCTTTTGAGTCTCTAGGTAGAATAAAAAGAAGCTATAGGCCTGAAGACCTTTTGAAGAGAGAAAACGGAAAGCAGAAAGGTTACAAAGATCATGAAAAAATACTTTTCAGTTGTTTCTTGAGGTTTATTCTTCCACCGCAACACCATCCCCCTTGCACACTTTGTAGCTAAAGGTTTAAAAAAAAAAAAGGAAGATGTGTTACTAATCTGTTATTTAACCTCAGATTAGAGATTTTACTATAGTAAGTCTTGGAATAATCTGACACTAATTGAAACATTCAAAAAGGTGTGAGACCAGAATAACAACAGACTATGCTAATTCATCTTTTCAGGGTAAAAATCCAGACTTGCAGTGCAGTTCAAAGTAGTTGAATCCTTCAGTTTAGAACTTGAACCTGGTGGAACTGTCTCTTTTTATTGAATGTGAAATCTGCAAAGTCTGAAGATGGCGTTTGTCTGATGATATCAGTTGCCAGCACATGTTTTCTTGCCACACTTAACACTATAGTGAGCACATGTTGTCATCAGAAGTCAACTTCCCTCTACAGCATTTAGTAAAAAGGTTCCTGAAAACATGAGCAGAACTCTTGATGTTTTTTATTTAATAAACTACTAACAATACAGATCTCATTCTTTCCACCTACTCAGAATCACTCAAGAATATCTTACTCAAATTTTGCTGGATTTTTTTGGCAGCTACTTCCAAATTAATTGTTACTGAAATAAGTTGTATTTTTACGGTGTTCTAATGTCTCTTGTGAGTTGTACATAGTTCTAGATTAAATTTTTACTGTTACCTCCCCTAGATGTGATCCTTAATGCCAGTGCATTTAAAAATTATGTTAACCTGGTTTGGTTTTGTGTGAATAAAAAAATCTTTAATTAGGAAATCTACCTTACTACAAAAAAAATGATGTTTTGAGTCTTTTTTTTTTAAACAAGCAGTACATTAAGCATGCTTAATGCTAATGACAAGTATGTTTATCCATGTCTCTTGCAACCATTAAGTGTTAAAGTTATTGACGTACAGTATACATGTTTACAGTTCAGGCATTGACTCATTGGAATGAATGTAAACTAATAAAACATTTGAGATGATGGGGTTTTCTCCTTTTCCCCCTCTTCCCACAGGTTGCAGTTTAATAAGCATGGAGTACTGCGTGAGGAAGGTTTCTTAACTCCGAATAAGTATGACCCTGAGGCTATTAGCTTGTGGCTACCTTTATCAAAAAATGTTGTGGGTCTAGATCTCGACACAGCGAAGTATATCCTAGCCAACATTGGAGATCACTTTTGTCAGCTAGTGATATCTGAAAAGGAAGTTATGTCTACGATTGAACCACACAGTAAGATCAATTTGTATTAAAATAATCTGTATTTTAATAGCTTTATGTGAAACTTTAAGCTTCTGACTTGTGTGAAAATATATTGCATGCATTTGGAAACATTGTATAAGACTTCAGCGTTTCCCTCTCTTCTCAGAGGGAGGTAACGGTTAAGATCTATTGTGAACTAGTGTCAACAGCTATTTGCTCACAGGCAGGGGGAAAGTAATTCTAACCTCCTTTATGTCAGAAGACTTTTCTCAATTTATCAAATTACTTTTCCTGTTGCAGAGAGTGTAATTCTGTTATGAAACACAGTGTAAAAAAAAAAAAAAAAAAAATTTAAATAAAACAGCAGGCAGCTGACAACAATCTATTCTTAGCATGTAAATGAAATAAAGCTTTCATTTTGACTACACAGATTCTGTTAGATTGCTTTGGTCCTATTTTGTTTTTCTTGCATAATGGACCTAATGCTGCCTGTCAAGTCAGTGGAGAAATCTTTTTCCTCCAGTAGCACTGTTTCAAGTGATTGTATGTACAGCTCTACTGGGAATAGAGCAGAGAGGTGCTATTGATAGGGTAACTGACTGTAGAACTTCATCAGTGCAGACAGGGCAAACCTTGCATCCTCGAATACAGGTTTTTAGCCACATCAGAACCTCTCTGTAACAAACATGAGCAGACAAATGGGGAAGGTTGTGATCTTGCACAGTCTCAGAGTAGAATGACTCTTAAAACCGTACTTGTTTTTTAGATTATAACTACATGACAGAGATGCAGTACAGTTTAGAAGACTGTCTACCCAATGTCTTCTGCATTTGGGTACTATTGATGTTATATAAAGATCATATCGGTTTACCAGTCACTCCAAGGTTTTAATAAAAGAAAAAAACTGAACAGGCTTGAATGCCCTTCGAAAGGAGAGGGGAGACTTGAGATGTTTCAGAAATGCTTGCTGTGGGGTCTTACCCTGGACTACTTGGAATCTGCAAGCTCTGATCTTTGCTTGAACTGGAACGTATTCAGGCCTGTGGAGCCAAAGTATCAATAGCCAGAGTGAGAAGTACAGACTGGAATACAAAAACACTTTCAGAAGGATGAAATTTTGGGTGGAATTCATGAAACAAAGTGGAGGTGTCGTGTTTCTTTACGGCAGAGGATGCATACCTACCAGAAACATCCTCTGCTTAAAAAAACAGTTGGTTTGAAAGGAGCAAAATGTCATGAATTCCTCTTTGTTTATTGCCCTGGCTGGTGAGAGTAAGAGAATTCGATTTCATTAAAATGGAGGATATTTTTAATGCTGTGGGTAGGAAAGAAGTAATTTACAGCCTAGATATTCATTCTTCTTTGAACAGTTCAGTGAAAGAGTGCTCGCTCAGTTGGCACAGGAAAAAGGTAGATTCTCCTGCCACCCCGATTTAAAGTTATGGTAAACTTTTCTTGGCAGAGTTCAGTTGAAATGATACCTTTTCGTAAAAATTCTGGCTCTGACAAACTGACCTTTTCCAAAATGTCAAAATATTTTATTCAAGTACTACTTTTTAGGGGATCATTTATGTTTGAATATTTTTGGACTCCACAGTATATGTCTCAGGGTCAGCCCTTCTCTCTTTTACCAGTGAATTACTGGACTCTGATAGGTAGAGCCACAAGACAAAAAAGTGTGAGGGAGAAAATTATTTGGGAGAGCTTCCTTAAAGAGAGTTCCTTAAAGAATAAGTAGAAAAGCACAAGTGAAATTATTCTGGTGTAGTAAAAGATTGACCAGTCTAAAAAGAACAGCTTGTTAGGTCACGTTGCTCCTTGGCCACTAAGTGCCAAAAGGAGACCTACAGAAAGAGGAGACAGGGTCAGACTACAGAGAGGAAACAAAAGAACAGGAGGAGGAGAAAAGGACAAAATCAGAAAACTGAAATATGAAATTACATGCAACAGATAACAAAAAACCCCTTCATTCTGTTTGGGGGAAATTGGAGGATTGACCTAGAAAATGGTAAATACAGTGCATGTTTTTAAAAGGCAGAGAAGAATGGAATTGGTGATATTTAGACCTCTGTCTCCTGGAAGAATTTTGAAGCAAGTAGTCAAACAATCTTTACTTCCTCCTTAAGAACAAACCATGCCAAGCTATTCTAGTTTTGTTCCATGGTTATAATGCCCATAATTAATGGGCATTATACAGAAGAAAGCAACAGATGTCTTGGATCCTGTTGTGGTTTTTTTAGCATATGTTAGGACATGGTCTCTCATAACTTGCTTTTAAAATTAATAAACATTGTGGGCAGAAAAGTTTCAGAGAAGTTACAAGTGTGGAAGGAGGTAGGAGGAGGCAGATGTGTGCTTTTTGTCCAGTCTAGTTTTCTAGCTGGCGACATAATGAAATGAAGATCAGGCTAAAATTATCTGTACATAATGCAGTCCTGGAAGGCCTTGTAATTTTTTGGAAAATACTGTCAATGTTTGGGATGTTTTGAGTGAACTGAAGAAGTGACTTGGAGTAAGGAAAGGTGGAATATAGTGGGTACACAAGAAACCTGAACAGAGTGGTCAGTTCTTCAGAGAATAGCAACTCACCATTCTGAGAAGGTCTGATACACACCTATCTATATATAT